AGGAACTAAAGTTTGTACTAACTCTTAAAAAAATTAGTTAAGTTAGTTATTTGTAATAAATAAATATTATTTTTCTTAAAATACTCTTATTAATCATGTGTAACAACGAGAACTACTATTTAATGAAACCTTTAACATGTACAACTGCTACAAGGACTATTTAAAAAAAAAAGAATAAATATAAGAGATAAGGTAGATTAGGAGCTTATATTTAGAATCAAATTGGATGTTAAAATGGCTCTTATATTAAGAATTAGATATAGTATTTAAGATTACAGATCTAAACAATCTGTACACGTAAGCAAGCTCTTGGCCTTGGCCAAACCACTTTGTTGGGGCTTTTTGTTGTGGAAAACATGATCACAAGGAAATCAGCGTAAACAAATATGGATGTAAATTGAGACATATCTATTAAGTTTTTGCACAAGTAAGCTAATTCTACAGTTAATTGTCGCATGATATTCTGGTGAAAAAAAAAAATTGTCGCATGATATATGGTTTAGAAGATTTTTGTATATTTGCTCAAAAGTACTAATGTATTCTTATAGTTTCATTGCTATAAGAGAATTCTCTTCATCAATATAGTGTTAAGCAGAATAAAAATATCAGATTATTTTATGTTTTTATAGCTTTCTGCCATATCATTTATTGCTAAGTATTTGTTTGATGCTTCAAATAAATTAATTTGACTTATTTAACGTTATTGATACCTACAAAAGGACCTAACTCATATCAATTAGATATAAACTACCGCCAAAAATAAAATTTGCGACAAAAGTTTAAAAAAATTTATTGCAAATTGATTTGGTGAATTGTAATGAGGGCATCAAATGCTATGCTTTTGCAGGGATTAAAAAAAAAAAAAAAAAAAAAAGGAAACTCCCTTAGGCCCTCTCTCTTCTCCTCTTCGTCTGTTTTTGAACACAGTCACAATAAGTGGTCACGGAAAACACCACTTGACACTCTCATTCTCCAGCACAATGAATCCCCATAGTCCCATGCTTCCATACACACCCTGCAACTCCTTTTTCTTCTTCTACCTCTTGTTGTTAACAATGACTCCGGCACAATCCCGAGTCAAAAAGATGATCATAAGTGCGTAACATGCAGCCGCACTTTAAGTGATATCCTATCCTTTCTGGGGAGGAAACCGACTACATTACGGTGGCAGAGATGGTTTCGAAGTATCGTGCCTGTCTCCTGACATGGCTACCAGTCAAATCGCTCTCAAAACTTCACCTTGATCGATTTCGATCCCTCTAGTTTTAATCGTCAGCAAACAGACATCCAAGTTACGATAATTGTTCTTTCCGTTTCAACAACACTTCTTTGGACCGCACTCTGTTTTCTTTCGACCCAACTGTTGTGAAAATGACCATATTCTATGACCGTGTCCCTGGGTTTTTCATCGGCCGCCGGAACAACATCACGTGCAGGGATGATAGAGAAAAGCAAGCTTTCTTTTTGGATCAATTTCTCGCTTCAATTCCCAGAACTAGTTCAACTTCAGGTGCCAGTTACGTGGGTTGTCACTGTGAATTCTTTTGGTGGAATTGAAATCGTGGAAGGTTACTTTGGATAAAGGATTTAATATGCAGTATATTGCAGACGAGGAGGACCGTGAAAAATGCTTGGCCTCTGGAGGAGCCTGTGGGATGAAAGATGATAGGTCTCAATTTTCATGTTATTGTACAGACGGACCTTGTGACTTGGCGGGTCCTGCTTTTGCAAGTATGGTTTCTTTCTTTTCCTTCTATTAGTCCCTTCAATTGCTCTGTGACATGCAAATCAATGTCCTGTCATTGTTATAGGCTTTTTTGATTGGTTACATCTTTAGAGATCAGTTAGAAAAACTCCTTGCTAATCATCAAATAAATACCCACTCCAACATGATGGCACGGGGTAAGTAAACCAAACGCTTGGCAACCCTGTTTACTCCTATGATTGGGCTGCCGAAGTACCCAACTTAGTTGCCAGAGGGTTTTTGATTTACCAGTAATCCAACTCTTCTAAGTTATAGTGCGGTCAAATTAAATTTTGATGACGTCGATTTTTAATTACCGATTACCAATTAGACGCTTTTATTTGGGGCCGTCTGGAATACGCATTGAATAGTCAACACCCACTTTATATTTGTGGAATGGGGAAGAAGAGAGGATTTAGGGTGATGAGAATGAATGATGAGAGGATAGCAGCCTCTCATTGTGAAGTCAAAGTCTACCTTGACCCAAAACCAAAAGCTGGGACTGATAAATGTTGAGGCAGCATGCTGTCACAAAGCAGGGAGTTAACAATGGAGGCCTATATGCTGTTCCTCACCTTCTCCTTCTTCCTTTCCTCTTTCCCACTTTCCTGCTCTCAACCAAACAAGAAGTGCCTCCCAACCCCTTGTGGAGCAGTAGGAAAAATCGATTACCCCTTCTGGTCAGACATAATTCGACCCGACTATTGTGGCAAAGATGGGTTCAAGCTCAATTGTCCCCAAGATGAAGGTGACTACCCTTCCATTCAAATCGGTTCACAGACTTTCGATGTCACACAGATTAATCCAGCCTCTCACAATATGACGCTGGTGCGAACGGACCTTGTCTATGATAATTGTTCTTCACATTTGTCCAACACTTCTGTGAGTACCCCGCTCAATCTCTTCCATTACGCCGAGCCATCTGTGAAGAACATGACCCTATTATACGACTGCCCAGACTATTTGCCTGGGGTAAACAATTTCTCATGCCAGCCTTCGACAAGCTCTAAACCCAGTCCTAACAATTATGCTTTCTATCCGGAAGATCTCGCGATTGACCCCTACTTTGCTAACAATTGTAAGCATCGTATTCAGGTGCCGGTTTCAATAGAAACTTCTGACACGTACCCTCTGGAAGCTTTAGGTCAAGGGTTTCTTGTGCTGTACAACGCAAATGATTCTCCCGGTATGTGCCTCTTCACCTCCTTCTCTCCTTTTTTATGATCTCAGTGTGCATTCATTACTTGCCAAATTCATACTTAGCTATGCTGTACTTGAGCCTGTGATTACCGCGTATTAATTATCAGTATAGAGATGCCTTTATTCAAATTGATTGCCTCCAATTGGATACAAGGGGATAGACGCCTAAACGACTTGTTTCCAGTAAAACTCAATAAAATGGAATCCATCTTCCCTTGCGCTTATGCTTTAACTTTCCTTGGCGCCATGAAGTTTGATATTTACGGCATCATTTGTTCTTGTTCAGGTCTTCCAGTAATCCTCCGTCGCTCCTTTTCTTTCCTCCGGAGCATGGCCGTACTTTTAAAATGATTCTTTCCCATTGAAAAAAAGAAGTATTTAAAATTCAAAAAATACCCCCTCCAGTTAAAATATAAGATAAATTTTATCTATTTATATTTATCAATAAATTAGTTAAAATCAGTTCAAAACAATAAACTAATTTTTTGTCCCTAATATGCCCTTATTAATAAAGAGAATAAGTAAAAAAATGTACTAAATGAATTAAAGATAAAAGAGAATATATGAGGGACAAAATTAAAAAAAAAAATCATTAAATGTTTAGATAAAAGTGAATATTATCTTATAAAAAAAATCAAGTACATCCAACAAAGTTTGTCTTATATTTTGAACTGAGGGAGTATAAACTTTTGGAAGAAATGAAAATTAATAATTTTTTAAATACAACAAAAGTACTGAAGACTTTTAATTTTTAAAAACTGCATTATAATTTCTAAAGATGTTCATTAATTTTTATTTTTAATAAAATTATAATTTTAAAAATATTTTAAAAAAAATTATCTTTCCATATAAATCCCATTCTTATCAAAAGTTTACTTCATAAAGAGTGTTATTTTGCATTTCCATCGACAAATCATGTGATGCCACATGTTAATTTGCATTGCGAAGCTCGAGTCTAAAAAGGCTTTGTGTTTACAGGACCGATGAGCACCCAAATTTAATTTGGATGGTTCAAATTTAAAACTTTTAATTAATTATTTTAAAATAAAAAATGATTTTTTTGGGGAAAAAATAGCATGAAAGCGTCAACGACAAGAAAATGACTTTCCCAGGCAAGATTACTGAACGAAGGCAATTATGTTGGTCAAGAAACTCCTTAATCTTGAGGGTATTTTGGAGATTTTAGATGTCAACGAAGTAGTTGCATTGACTCGCAAGTCGCAAGTCATCCATTTCCATGTTTCCAGTCTAGCGCCTCTTCCTCATGGCCAACTTGTTAACCGAACAGGGAGGTACGGTTGGGCCATCAAAAGAAACAATATAGAGGATGATGGTCGCATCACTTCTACTGTTTCTTTTCTGTATAATCTAAATACAACCGCATCAGATGGAGCCTTACAACTGAAATTTTAAAGATGGGGGTTTACTTTGAATTGGTTTGCACCTGAACTTGCTTTTCATTACTGTGTAAAAAGTGGCGGGTGCTGCGGTTTTGATAAATATAAACTCTGCTGCTTCTGCCTTCTATAAGGATAAAAGTCATCTCAAAAGTTAGTGGCAATGTTAATGCATTCATCTGCATTTCATAATTTCCAATTGTTAAGTTGGACTTTTTATATGTGTTTCTTTTGTTTTGTTCTTTCTTCATATACAGGTTCTAATACGTCTCTAACCCCACTTTGTCTTCTCTGCGTATAATAGCTAGAACAGGTGGACGTGCATTAAGAAATAAACTCATTATAGGTGATAGATCTTCTTTTAGTTCTTTTCTTAACTTACTTTATAGTAGCTTCTTTTGACAAGTATATTCACTGAAAGCCATTACCACTCTTCATTTCAGTTGGTGTTACTGCTGTAGTCGTTAGTGGAGCAATGGGACTGCTGCTTTCTTGGAAAATAAAATCACAGAGGGGAATAATTGGATTATGCAAGACATCTAAGGATGACCAAAACATTGAGGCCTTCATTAGAAATCATGGTTCTCTAGCTCTCACAAGATATAAATTTGCAGATGTCAAGAAAATGACCAACTCTTTTAAAGATAAATTGGGACAAGGTGGTTATGGTTCTGTATACAAAGGAAAACTACCCAATGGCTATCCTGTTGCTGTAAAGTTATTGAAGGCATCAAAAGAGAATGGGGAAGACTTCATCAATGAGGTTGCCAGCATCAGCAAGACTTCCCATGTAAATGTTGTTACACTTCTTGGGTTTTGTTTTGAAGGCAAACAAAAGGCTCTCATATATGAATTTATGTCCAATGGATCTCTTGACAAGTTCATTCACAACAATGCAGACAAGAATAGTCTATGCTTGACTTGGGAAAATTTGCACCAAATTGCAATTGGGATAGCTCGAGGACTTGAGTATTTGCATAGAGGATGCAACACTCGAATTCTACATTTTGATATAAAGCCACATAACATCCTTTTAGATGAAAATTTTTATCCCAAAATCTCAGATTTTGGTCTTGCCAAGCTTTGTCCTAAAAAAGAAAGCATCATTTCAATTTCAGAAGTTAGAGGAACAATAGGATATCTTGCTCCAGAAGTTTGGAATAGAAATATAGGTGGAGTTTCACATAAGTCTGATGTTTATAGCTATGGGATGATGCTATTAGATATGGTTGGAGGGAGAAAGAACATAGATGTTGAAACCAATTATTCAACTGAGAAATATTTCCCATATTATATTTATGCTCAACTTGAGCAAGACAGCAATTTGGGATGTAATGGGGCCAATAATATGGAGGAGAATGATATTGTAAATAGAATGATCATTGTGAGTTTGTGGTGTATCCAGACATTTCCAAGTGAAAGGCCTACGATAAGTAGAGTGATTGAAATGTTAGAAAGAAGACGTGACCTGTTGGAAATGCCGCCAAAACCTGTCATGCCTTCCCCTCCAAGATTAGAACAAGAATCTTCCATCACTGCTACTACGACAACAGAGATTTTGGGTTTTCAAAACCCTTCCCACATGCTGCTGGAGGAACACTAGTGTTCAGAAAATGTGGAAGAAGTGCAGTGTGGTCCCATAGTATGGTATTTATGGTAATCAAATGTTGTCGCTAAATTGTTTCTTTTTGGTTTGGTTTTTTTTTTTTTTTCCTGGTTTGGGAGAGAGCAAGGGCTGTGAAGCTGAGGGCTCTAAGATCAGTGAGCTATTCTTAGCATGTTATACTTTCAGACTTGCCGATAAGAGCATTCTGTTCATCAATATAGTGTTAAGTAGAATAAAAATATCAGATTATTTTATGTTTTAATAACCTTCGGCCATATCATTTATTCCTAAGTATTTGTTTGATGCTTCAAATAAATTAATTTTATTTGTTTAACGTTATTGATAACTACTAAAGGACCTAACTTATATCAATTAGATATAAACTACAGCCAAAAATTAAATTTGTGACAAAAGTTTAAAAAAATTATTGCAAACTGATTTGGTGAATGTTGATGAGGGCATCAAATGCTATGCTTTTGCAGGGATTAAAAAATATAAAATTAGGAAACTCCATTGGGCCCTCTCTCTTCTCCTCTTCCTCTGTTTATGGACTCGGTCACAATAAGTGGTCACAGAAAACGCCACTTGACACTCATTCTCCAGCACAATGAATCTCCATAGTCCCATGCTTCCGTACGCACTCTCTAACTCCTTCTTCTTCTTCTTCTTCTACCTCTTGTTGTTAACAAGGACTCTGCCACAATCCCCTGTGTCAAAAAGATGATCATAAGTACGAAACATGCAGCCGCACTTATGAGTGATATCCTATCCTTTCTGGGGAGGAAACCGAATCCATTACTGTGGCAGAGATGGTTTCGAAGTATCGTGCCTGTCTCCTGACATCGCTCCCACTCAAATCGCTCTCAAAACTTCACCTTGATCGATTTCAATCCCTCTCATTTTAATCGTCAGCGAACGGACATCCAAGTTACGATCATTGTTCTTTCCGTTTCAACCACACTTCTTTCGACCCCACTCTGTTTTCCTTCGACCCAACCGTTGTGAACATGACCATATTCTATGACTGTGCCCTTGGGTATTCCATCCGCTGGAACAACATCACGTGCAACGATGATGGAGAAAAAGCTTTCTTTTCTGGGTCAATTTCTGTTGCCTCGATTCCCAGAACTTGTTCAACACTGTGAGGTTCAACTTCAGGTGCCGGTTACATGGGGCGTCATTGTGGACCCTTTTGGTGGAATTGAATCGTTGAAGACTCCTTTGGATAACGTTTAATGTGCAGAATATTGCAGGCCACGGCAACTGCAAAAAATTAATGGAATGGCCCTGCGACTTGCAAATCGGACGGACCTTATGACTTGGCCTGCCTTGCTTTTGCAAGTATGGCTTCTTTCTTTGTTCCTTCTATTAGGCCCTTCAATTGCTCTGCGACATGCAAATCAATGTTCTGTTATTGTCATAGGCTTTTTTGATTTGTTACATCTTTAGAGATCACTTAGAAAAACTCCTTGCTGGTTTCCAACAGAGAATCATAGATTTTAGAGTACTCTCCACGAACAAGAGTTGATGATGTCACTAAGGAGAGTCTCTGAGGCACTCATGACTCATTCTTAGGAGCTTGGATTTTTCTGCATTTTATTTCAGTTCATTCACTTTGACATTGTTAATTAAGCCTTTATCTTATTCTTTAGAAATATGTGATAGTTGAGGTCTTAACAAAATTGAAAATTGAAAGTTATTAGTCAAATAAAGTACACAATCCACGATGAAACAAACCAAGCCCAGTTTGCTCCTATATGATTGATCTGCTATGGTACCCCAACTAGTTTTTTATTTACCAGTAATCCAACTTTCCTTGGTTGTAGCATGCTCAAATTAAATTTTACTGAGGTAGCTTTAATTATCGACTTGAATAGTTATCATATTTTATATCAAAACAGTACCCACATCTCTACAACCAACCTTAAAACCTTTGAACAGGGGAAAAGAAACAAGTTTATAATAGGAAAAATAGAAATATAAAATCACACATTTAGGAAAGACAAAACTTAATCTTCATTTACAACTGGCAATTTCCCCAATGTGACCATATTTAAATAGTGACTCCTTAGTGAATTATAAAATATTTCAATTTTATTGGTACAAAAATATTAATAGTAGTGTTGGTATACAAAAGACTATAATAATATCATTTCAGCAATAAGATTTTTGTTACAAAGAGCAATGAAAGGTAACAGGGGGGGCCATTTTGAAAATAGTATGAAAATGGAGAAGGGGAAGTGAGTGGTTGTTTCCTGATTGAGTACTTGGAAGGAGGGATTGAATAGTCAACACCCACTTTTTTTATATTATTTGTGAAATGGGGAAGAAGAGAGGATTTTAGGATTGAGGAGGTTTCTTCCTGAAAAATCAAGAAAATGAACGATGAGTGGATAGCAGCCTCTCATTGTGAAGTCAAAGCCTGCCTTGACCCGAAACCAATAGCTGGGACTGATAAATGTTGAGGCAGCATGCTGTTATAAAGCAGGGAGTTAACAATGGAGGCCTACATGCTGTTCCTCACCTTCTCCTTCTTCCTTTCCTCTTTCCCGCTTTCCTGCTCTCAACCAAACAAGGAGTGCCCCCCAACCTCTTGCGGAAGAGTAGGAAAAATCGATTAACCGTTCTGGTCAGACAGAATTCGACCCAAGTATTGTGGCAAACATGGGTTCCAGCTCAATTGTCCCCATGATGAGTATGATTACCCTTCTATTCTAATCGGTTCACAGACTTTCACTGTCACAGAGACTGACGGATTGAATCACAAGATGACACTGGTGCGAACGGACTATGCCGTCTATACGGAACATGTCGCGTCTGAGCCGGTTTTCCCCAACCTTGTTAACTATTGTAAGCATCATATTCAGGTGCGGGTTTCAATAGAAACTTGTTACCAGGACCCTCTAAAAGCTTTAGGTCAAGGGTTTCTTGTGCAGTACAACGTAAATGATTCTCCCGGTATGCGCCTCTTCACCTCCTTCTGTCCTTTTTTATGATCTCAGTGTGCATTCGTTACTTGCCAAATCCGTACTTAGCTGTCCTGTACTTGAGGCTGTGCTTATTGCGTAGTTATTGGCATAGAGACGCCTTTGTTCAATTAATTTTTAAGTTTATCAAAAATTCGCTAAAATCAGTTTAAAACAATAAATATGTAATGTATGTACTTTTTTGCCTAAATATATCTTTATTAATGAAAAAATAAGTAAAAAATACAATAAATTAAATGAATCAAAAAGAAAAAAAAATATGGGGAACAAAATATAAAAAAACTCATTAATTATCTAGAAAAAAGTAAATGTTATCTTATAAAAAAATTAAACCCATTCAACAAAGTTTATCTTATACTTTGAACAGAAGGAACTCTAACTTTTTGGAAGAAGTGAAAATTAATAATTTTTTTAGATATAATAAAAGTATTGAAAACTTTTAATTTTTAAAAAATGCATAATAATTTCTAAAGATGTTCATTAACATTTTATAATTTGTCAATATTAATTTTATTTTCAATAAAATTATAATTTTAAAATACTTTTAAAATAATTATCTTTCCATATAAATCCTTAAACTCAGTATTATCGAAAGTTTATTTCATAAAGAGTGTTATTTTGCATTTCCATTGACAAATCATGTGATGCCACATATTAATTTCCATTGCGAAGCTTGAGTTTTAATCTGAAAAGGCTCCGTGTTCGCAAAAATGGCATGAAAGCTTCAATGACAAGAAAATGACTTTCCCTTTTTTTGGGGGAAAAAAAAATACCATGAAAGCGTCAACGACAAGAAAATGACTTTCCCAGGCAAGATTACTGAATGAGGGAAATTATATTGGTTCGGAAACTACTTAATCTTGAACTTATTTTGGAGATTTTAGATGTCAACAAAGTAGTTGCATTGACTCGCAAGTCGCAAGTCATCGATTTCCATCTTTCCAGTCTAACGCCTCTTCCTCATAGCCAACGTGCTAACTTAACGGGGGGGTTACAGTGGGGCCATCAAAAGAAACAATACAGAGGATGATGGTCGCATCATTTCTACTGTTTCTTTTCTATATAATCTACATACAACCACGTCATATGGAGCCTTACAACTGAAATTTTAAAGATGGGGTTTCCTTTGAATTGGATTGCACCTGAACTTGCTTTTCATTACTGTGTAAAAAGTGGCGGGTGCTGCGGTTTTGATAAATATAAACTCTGCTGCTTCTGCCTTCTATAAGGATAAAAGTCATCTCAAAAGTTAGTGGCAATGTTAATGCATTCATCTGCATTTCATAATTTCCAATTGTTAAGTTGGACTTTTTATATGTGTTTCTTTTGTTTTGTTCTTTCTTCATATACAGGTTCTAATACGTCTCTAACCCCACTTTGTCTTCTCTGCGTATAATAGCTAGAACAGGTGGACGTGCATTAAGAAATAAACTCATTATAGGTGATAGATCTTCTTTTAGTTCTTTTCTTAACTTACTTTATAGTAGCTTCTTTTGACAAGTATATTCACTGAAAGCCATTACCACTCTTCATTTCAGTTGGTGTTACTGCTGTAGTCGTTAGTGGAGCAATGGGACTGCTGCTTTCTTGTAAAATCAAATTACGGAGGCGAAGAATAGGATTATGCAGGACATCTGAGGTTGACCAAAATATCGAGGCCTTCATTAGAAATCATGGTTCTCTGGCTCTCACAAGATATAAATTTGCAGATGTCAAGAAAATGACCAAATATTTCAATGATAAATTGGGACAAGGTGGTTATACTTCTGTATATAAAGGAAAACTCCTCAATGGCCGCCCTGTTGCTATAAAGTTATTGGAGGCATCAAAAGAGAATGGGGCAAGACTTTATCAATGAGGTAGCCAGCATCAGTAGGACTTCCCATATAAATGTTGTTACCCTTCTTGGGTTTTGTTTTGAAGGCAAACAAAAGGCTCTCATAGATGAGTTTATGTCCAATGGATCTCTTGACAAGTTCATTCACAACAATGCAAAAAATACTAGTCTATGGGTGACTTCAAAAAATTTGTACCAAATTGCAGTTGGGATAGCCTGGGGACTTGAGTATTTGCATAGAGGATGCAATACTCAAATTCTATATTTTGATATAAAGCCCCATA